GACAAGCTATCCGCAAAGTCGCAAGGAGGCCAATTAATTTATTTTCATTTACACTTTCATCTAATGTTATTTTATTTATTTTTTTGGTTTGTATATGCATGGCACTATTGCATTGTAGCAAGAGGACGCCGGGTGTGAAGCCAACCAGGACGAATGGGGCATTTCTGTGTGAAGTTTGCATTTTCTCCCCACGCCTGTGTGGGTGTCCTTTGGGTCCTCCAGTTCAGCTTAGGTGAACTGGAAACTCCAAATTTGCCCATAGCTGTGTACGTCAGTGTGAATGTGTCTATCTGTCAATATGTGTTAGCCCTGTGATAGACGTGCAAAATGTCAAGGGTGTGCCCTGCCTCTCACCCACATGCACAATATCCCAATAGGCAGTAGCCTCTGTGGTCCTGCAAATGATAAGTGGGTATAGAAAATACTTCTATTATTATTTTTGTTTCTTTTCTCATTCTCATTGTGATTTTTGTGGTGTACTTGGGCAAAGAACTGTAATATTGTTTTAGGTTTATTATTTAGTCTATAAAATGTAGGGCCACAACTAATCATTTTTTTTATTATTAATTAATCTGCCAATGAATTTCATGACTAATCTCTTAATCAGTTGGTCAATAAAAAAAGTAAAGAATTGCCAACCTAAATTTCCCATAGCCCAATCTTAAAATTGCCTGTTTAGATATTTTATTATTAGATTTTATCACAGAAAATACACAAAAAACACATTAGAAAGGCTAGAACCTGTGCTTTATTGCAACCAACCAATTTTAATTTTAATTGTTTCAGCTCTAATAACGTGTCATAAATATTGAGTAATAGTCATCACAATTCCCTAGAACCCAGAGTGACATGTTCAGTTTGCTTATTTTGCCCCACCATATATCCAAAACCCAAATACCATACAACTTTTGCTTTAATCACTGTACTCACCCTGCCTATATTTGGTACAGGCGTTTATAAGGGACAGGCCTTTAATACCTTTTACACAAAAAAGACGGGAAATAACCTACTATCAAACTGTTTATTTCAACCAGCATGAAAATCACCTGCATAAAAATGTGGCTTTTTTCGTGTCTCTTGTTTACCAGACGAGAAGATCTGAATTGTTTCCGTAAAAGTTGTGGAGAATCTAACCGATCTAACAATGTGTAGCATGTCCAGGTTTAAACATTATTATTATTTCTATGTGTGATATAAGTAGCTGAGAAGTAGCTCAAGCGGACGACTGAGCTTTAAGAGGTTTTATACATCCAAAGAACTTCAATGAAAACACTATTAAATTAACCATGATATAAACCAGAAAATCAGAAACTTGCTTGATGATTGACAAACGACAAATTAGTTAGGAAATATTTGGCAATATTTTTTCTGTATCAGCTAATTGATTAATCGACTAATCGTTTCAAGTCTCCACAGCATAATAGGAAATGAAGACTCTCCTAACTAGTAGAATTTGGTATTCAATTCAGTATTTCATAGTCTATAATTCAATAATTTTTATATTTTATCATACAGTAACCAAAATGCAATATTTTAAGCTGGAAAAATAATAATCATCAAAAATAAATACATTAACAGTAGAAATAAACAGTATATAGCATGCAAGCTGTACACTTAAGGGTGTACTGAGCCTTCTTGGTCTCTCAGCTGTGGATAAGGGAGACAGTCAGGCGGAACAGACAGTGCCTTCACAGGAGACGGCCTGTTTCCCCACTGAGGAAGCTGTTATCACTCTGTTGCGCCTCATCAGTCCCTGATTGAGCTGTTACTGTACTGTACCTGCCATATGGCCGTCACAGCAGAACCCAGCCGGACATTCTTCCACCCAACGCGTTCTGCCAGACACTCTGAAAGCTGTTGGGTGCCTCCCTGTGGAGAGACAGATGTTTCTCTTCAAGGTGAGCTTAAAACCCATAGACGCCCTCCTTTCTTAGGTGGGCAGAGTGCTGGAAGTTTAAAAGGGTCACTACACCCAAATTACAAAACAACAAACCCCCGGTGGTGTCTGGCCAGCTATTCAGCTAATTCTGTTATATATGCCATGATTTCCATGCACCTGCCTCCAGGACTTCTGCTGACACCCCCAATGCAATAAAACTTTTTGTTTTTGGTGCTCAAGCAATTATAAATGACATTTGAAAAACTCATTATCAACGTCTCTTTCAAGAGAAAGGTGCATTCTGCATATAACCAGAACTGGCTGTGAACAGTTTTCAGTGGGAACTATTTTCTTCCAATGCAAGAAACCGCATTTTTTATAATAGGACAAAATAAAATATACACAACTAAAGCAGTACTGACTTAAGTATGACATTTCAGATGAAAATGTATTCAAAATGTGTTTGAGGAAGAACAAAACAAGGTTAAATATTGCATGAGATGAGAGATGAGTTGTACCTCTGTTAGAAACATTCATCATATACAACTGATAAGAGCAGGGCCATCCCAGTTCACATTTGATGCTGTTTTAACTGCATCTGTGGCATTGTCATATTCACAGTGCTACTCACAAGCATTCCATCAGGAAATAGCTGAAATGCCTTAATAAGAAAATATCTGCAGATGAAGTGAAGGAAATGTGCTAATACACAAGTTTGGAACTACTGTAGAAAGGCTATGTTGCCATTTTCATTAAGTGTGTCCTTTTTTGGCTTTCAGCCATTTACACTCCACCACTGTGAGGGGAGAGATGTTTCAGAAGCAATAGCACAAAAATAGAACTATAAGGAACCATAACTTTCATGCTGAGGGAGCTCATAGAAAATAGTAAAATCCAATACAAGACAACAGCTGTGTGTTTAAACAGTCCCAATCGATGATGCCTCGAGGCAAGGTAAAGCAAGGTGTTTGTTGGGACAGGGGCTTGACTGAGATACACAGACTGTGTTGAAGGGCCGGATTCTGAGTTTTATTAAAGTAGAGAAAAAATCCAATGTGGTCTCCAGTATTGAAAAAGCACTCAAGTCAACAACATGCAGTCTGAGGAAAGAAATGAGCAGCGTACCTTTATCTTGAACTCCTGAGCACAACCCGGAGAGCTCTCTAACAGCTGCAGTACCCCTCCAGCTGCTGCAGCATACATGAGGAAGAATAGGAAGGACATCTGTGATGGCTCAATGCCAAACACAGACCTGCTGCACACTCCCATCTCCTCTTTTAGTTCTGGCAGAAAGGGATGAATGAACACAGACTGTTGCTCTTACACACACAGTAAATATGCATTCCCCTGCAATGACAGTGTTCTATAAAGGTATGTATCATCACCGTTGTCAATAAACCACAGACAAGATATACTTAACAAAGAGACACTTGAAAGGATAATGATCATTATTCCTGTAACCAAGTCGAATCAAATCTAAACTCAAATGTAGATGACTTTTAGTCAGTCAATAAATCTGGTGCCGCAATGTATAATTTGATTTGGCATAAACATGTAGGCATGAATAATAATCTATACTTTTTAAATTTTTTGTGCTGACAACAAACTCCAAGAACAAGAACCACACTAAAATATAGACTTTTAATATTTCAATATTGTTAGAGGATGGGTGATAATGACTTTGTTGGTCCCTTGACACATCATTAGGTCATTTTCAGTGTATCCAATACTTTAGTATTGTACAGTGTAGTACAGTTGGGAATGACCAAATACCTACAAAACTAATCCCATCAGCCTCAGCTGTTCTTTGTGTGTAATTTGAATGTTAGCAAATATTAGCATGCTAACACACTAATGATGACCAACATTACACCTTCTGGAATGGGAGGTTGTTAGCATAGCAACCGCTACTATATGAACTACTAAAACTTTTACATTTACTTCACTCTGACTGATTGTCATAGATTTGTAAAATGCTGTTACCAAAATTTATTTTATTGTTTTGAGGGTCAGATATGTATGTTAGAATGTATCAAATGTCTTTACTAACATAAATTACTAATGTTGTCCAGAGTCAACACAAAGTAGAAGGAACTCAACATGCTCAGTTGAGGAAGATAGAGGAGGTGATATTTAAAGCTACTCTTAACACTGACCTGAAGTCCACGCATGTTGCTCAATGTACGAGTGCAGGGTCATACTGTCTAGCTCAACAGCGTTGGGTGTCTTTGAAGGATCCTGGACACATACTGTGGCACACAATCTGTCAATCTGAGTGCAAAATACAGTCACCACAACACACCCACACATGATGAGTTACTACTGTGAACCCAAAGCATCCCATTGATATAGATAAAAAAACAAATATGATTCTAGCAGGGCACAGTTTCTACTTCCCACTGTTACTCTAACCATTTATCCTTGGAAGGAAATGTTGTACTTTGTTGGGTTAAATGTACTCTTTTCCCATCAGTCCATAAGCACACTGCATCCTAAATGTAAAATATTATTACCACATCCATTTGGGACTTCACATTGATTCCCAGCAGGGTATTGAACATGCTGATTATAAAAGATATGAATTGAGACACAGCTATAGTTGTAAAAACTGGCCTCTATAGAACTACTGTATATCTGCTGATATGCTGTATATCATCTTGTTCTTCACATAAAAAAGTCAACGAGAAATTAATTAAACCACTCCTTGGCTTTGTAAGTATTCGCCCACTGATACTTGTAGTTATTTAGCTGATCCTTGTCAGACATTTCTAAGCACTGGGGAGTACAGAATATTGCTGTTTAAGTCTGATGCCTCACCTTCCACATAAGCTGGGTAAGATCCATTAGCACCACTGGAGATAGAGCAGGTATACTTGTTCTGTAGGTGCGAACTTTGGCACCTGGCCCACCCATGTGATGCACCTTCTTTCCACTATTAAATTGGGGGAAGGTTTCTAAGCCCAGCTCCTTAATGAGGTCCGATATGTGTGTTTGCGTGCTGAAAGAGACAGGAAGCCATTTTTTGTTTATGTTTACAGTGTTTCAGGATTTACTCTAGGGTTATGAGACTTTCAGCTGATGCATAATAATAAATGCATTTATTCTGAGTTTAGAGAAGTGGGCTTGAGAATGCAACATTGCTTTCAGTCTTTGCACAGGCAGAAAAATCTGAAAACTGGTCAAATGTAGACATGAAGCACAAGAGGGTGTGTGTGTGTGTGTGTGTGTGTGTGTGTATAGAAACATACAAACACAGGTAACAGATCAAAGAAAAAAAATTGCAGTTCTAGATTGTCTATATTCAGCAGTACTGTCTCAGTCCTGATATCATTGAATCTATCTATAACACATTAGAAACCTTTTCATCTTTTTATTTAAGTTATTAATCATTCATCTTAATCAAAGATTTTCTGATAAATGGGCAATTATGGGCACCTTAATTGTTTTTTTTTGTAATTGACACTTTTTTTTGGTTTGTTTAATATTGTTTCATCTCGTGTCGGGCACAGACCTGGCACTGTGGCAATGAGTTAATTTGTCACAATGCTCATGTGAATAAAGCTTATCTCCCTAAGGTCTAAATGTTCTGCCTGTTCTGATATTAGAAGCCCTAATAATCTTCTGCACTGTTTTCTATGACTACATAATGACAAGGTCTATCGGACTTTCAGTTGCATACTAGTAGCCCACTCCAGAATAACTGATTTAATTTTGTCTCATGTTCAGTGCAACTCTGTTGCATTTCAAATGCTTCTAAATGGGTTTCAGCATCATTAACAAAACAACAAAGTCCTATCATGAGCAACATGTTACTGTCAACTAGAAAATCCCTGTAAGACATAATCATGCAATATAATGATAAATATCCTAGACTCAACTGGAGTGACTATTAAAAAATGTACTTTAGCATGTCTTGTCTTGGTTTCCTCTCTTATTATTCCTGTAATATTTTAACATTACCTTCCTACCCACTGCCCTCCAAGGTCCCAGGAATCAACACCATTGGCTGCAGGTATTTCAGTGGACACTGTGCGACCTCCCACCCGATCTGCAGAAATGATTTATTCAGAGCATTTCCCACACTAAAAGAATTCAGTATAAAATGACTTACCATTTCAGGTTACCAATTGCTTCCAATCATGATACAATTGTACAAACCTTTTCCTTCCACTATCAGTATTCTCAACTTGGCATTCCGTTTTCTGAGCAAATGAGCTGCACTCAGTCCAGAAAGTCCGGCGCCAACAATAATAACGTCCCAAATTTCTGCAGTCATAGTCAGGCTCTAGTGACTAAGTTTTTTCTGCCAACTTAGCGTGTGCTGTTAAACCGTGGAGTCCAACTTGTGTTCCCTTTTCTTCTCCTTATCAATTAGGTTATCTTTCAAAGCCTGGGCTGCTTTCATAATAGTGCACTTTGGAACTGTGAAAAACTTGGAGCTTGTGACCTACTTGGCAGAGAATCGGCTGTGTAAATTCCAGCAATAAAAGCCAGGAGAAGGCTTTTGATTTTTCAACAGTAGAGACATTGTCAGATGTAAGTGCATTTGTAACACTAAATAAATAATGCAAATATTCAAAATATTAATGTAAACTCATCACTTATAATCTAGTAACTTATTCTGCAAGCAGTGGGTTTGTCATACCACTGTGGGTGGTAATTTTATGGAAATGTGTTTATATTTCAAATTATTATTGTTATTTTAATTATTATTTCAAATTTTTTGACATATGTGTGAGTGAATCTGAACTGAAGGCCACATTGGTCCACAATGACTTTTTAGCAACTTCTGCTTTAAGACAAAAGAGTAAAAGTTATGTATTTCTGTATTTACAATTAAAAGATGTTGAAAATATATAAATGATGAACACAGAATGGAGTAATTAACAGTAAATCAGAAGTAAAATTATGTCAAGCTATTGCCAGTATGGCACAAAACAGTGCCATGCAAATTAAAAATAAATGGGAGTCTGAGATTGGAGAACATAGAATGAAACATGGAAGAAAATAAACCTTAACCCAATGAAATTATCTGGAGCTGGAGGAAGTGTAGAGAACAATCTTCAAACTACTTTCATGTTGGTTTTTTTTTGGTTATGTTCGAAGTTCATGAACTTCTGGACCAAAGTCGTTTTATAAATGGTGTTGTAGAAATATCCCTGCAAATGAATCCTAAGAATGCAGCACTAAGAGTATGTCTGAAAATTGGAGACACTCATGCTTATTAAATATTTTGGTTATGGCAAGGAAATGCATAACTGGACATTGCTTCAGCAAGGATACACATTCTACTCTCTAAGAGACTGTACATTAAAGGAAGTGTATCAAGTCGAAAGAATTACCTACAAACTGAAATTACAAACAAAAAACATTTGAAAAAGAAGGCACCCACTCATTAGAAATAGGCCAATGAAACAAAAAAAGTGAATGTTAATGTTGCAACATAAAGCATGTAAATAGAAACCAAAGCGGTTCCTATATGTGCCAAATATAATATGAATGAGGAGCACTACTCTATTCTATCTATCTCTATTCTATTATAACTGTTGATGTTATGAAACAAGAACTGTGACCTTGAGTTTTATGTGACTGATTCAGTTTCTCTCAGTTGGTTACAAAGTGACAAGGACATTCAGATCAAGGTGTGTAAGTGAGTCCAAAGAACTGATGAATTTATTTGAAAAAGGGTAATGAGATAATATAACACTCCTGTATTTATCCAAGCAGTGAAACTCCCTGATGTATTCACTCGGATTGGTCTTTTTCTAGCGCAACAAACATTAATTCTAAAGTAGGCATGAAGGTGTCTATCATGCCAAACTGCTTAGGCAAGGCCAAATACTCTAGCACTATGGTTACATATATTTTTATTTAAATGGTGATTATGATGATACGTGTGCTCTTGTGTGTTTTATTCAGATTTTGCGCTTGGTAAGAATGCTATCTCAATAGCCAGTAATTAGCTTCTGAATCCTGACTTGAGTTCAGTAGCTTCACTTTGGGATGGGTTTCAATGGCCTGTTCTGTTTTGGATTGGAACAGTTGTCTATCTGTACATCCAGCAGAAATGTATCAATTACAACATTCATTTGGAGTCCACCTGATGAATGTAGGTTGTAACAGTTCAACAGAGGAAGTCATCTCCACAATACTTCACACAACCCTGTCTCACCTTGACAACAACACCTACATGATGATATTGTTCATTGACAGAAACCCCTCTAAACTGGTCACCAAACTACCTTGGCATCAGCTCTTCCCTCTGTAACTGGACCCTGGACTTTCTAACCAACAAACCCCAGTCTGTGAGGTTGGACAACCACAGCTCTTCCACTCTGGCCCTGAATACTGGAGTCCCTCAGGGCTGTATGCTGAGCCCTCTTCAACACCATTATAAAGTTTACTGGTGAGACTGAGGAGAAGGGCCTTATCAGCATCAACAATGACACAGTCTGCAAGCTCCCAGTTCCCCACCATCATGGACATCCAATGCAAGCAATACTTGCGGAGAGCATACTCCACAACATACAGTATGTTAGCAGTGTATATAACGTAGCCGCATACACCAGCACAAGGAAACGTTGTATACTGACAGCAAAGTGGAATCTAGTCTAACATAATCTGACTTTGTCCATCTGATGTGCTTGACGGATAGCATACAGGTTTGTTCAAATGGTTCCATTTCTTCATATAACAGTACTTAGGAAAACATGAGGAGTATCAGTTTCATGCTTTTAAAGCTCTTAAATGTAACTTCTCCATGCAAATTCCACCTCATTCAAAGACAAATATTGCTTTCCTGAACTGAACCGTTCAAATTTTGAAAAGAGTGGGTGTGTGGGGTCAGAGCTGTTTTTTAGATGGATCTGGCTCTGGCTCTGACAGCACTGCTTTAGCAGCTGGTGGCTTTAAATATAAATGTTTTCAGCACTCCTTAACAGTCCACCAATGGCTTAAAAACGCATACGGGAATAACCCTATAATCCAAAACACCTTGTGGGTTTGGTCTCGGGTGTTATCAATATTGAAAGCCCCTAAAATATACCTGGACACTTCAGTATGCTCTAATCATGCATTTAGACCAGGTCTTGGGGACCCGGTCTTCACCACTAGGAGGGAGAAGGTTATCATCTTTCTAAGAGATTTCTATATTAATGATAACCTTGTCTCTTTTCAGCAACGGCAGCAGACATTTCAGCTCCTGACTTCTCATTTCTTTCTGTTTTTTACAATTGCAACACTTTTTAAAGGATCATGTCCCATAAAATGCTACTTACCAGATTATAAAATATAATAAAGACGCCATGTCTAATTTTTACATCATTCTACAACCTTTATTCAAACAGTACTTCACCCCGCTGTGTGTCATTTCTAGGGTCATTGTATATATGAAGCTCAGGCCATCTCTATATACTTTTTTGACTGTTTCAGAAATTCTGAAAACTTGTTGTTAGTCCTTATAAAGAAATCAGAGTGAATGGTCAAAGGTTTAACAGCGTAACTTTGGTATATGTCAATACTCATGTCATAATAATTTGTTTTGCTGTATTTCTATACCATATATATATATATATGTTTTTCAATCAAGAATTGCCCAAAGCATTTAAAATAAATGTGGTGACTACAAGAGAGTTATACAACTGGAGATAAAATTCTTTATCCTTTATCGCTGATCTATTTTCTGCATGTTTCTGCTGAAGGACACCCAGCCGTTTCTCACTTATAAAGGCAGTTTTCTTGTAGATTTGGCACAGAGCTAAGCTTTGCAGTTTTTTACAGACAGCCTGGTTATATATACAAACCTTGCTGGCTCATGTTTTTGGCTGTGCAACCAGTTTCTTGTCACTTGAGACTTCAAATTCTCTCTTTGTCTTCCTTATTATTTGAAACCACAGACATCTAACAAATGAAAGGTTTTTAAGGGATGTATTGTGTATGCAACAAATTAGAGGGCGGGTGCAGTTGCTGTGTGTTTTCTTATGCAGGTGAAGTCAGATGATTTTCTATTTATTTTCAAGTTAAAATGTTTGACTGAATTATTTTGTTTGTTTTCATCCAAATCATTTAAAAGTTAAGTTAATGACCAATGTGACCATTTCCAGACAGGCATACAGACAAACAAACAAGTAAATATGTCTGACTATAGACACAGCGGCATAGTTTTGAAGATTTTTTGCTTTCAGTGCAGTTCAGTGCTCATCAAATTAACACCCTGATTTTCCAGCCACCTCATGCGAAACCCCATCAAATTGTGGGATTGCTCCTCCAGTTTCACTTGTTTAAGCAGGGATTACTGTGGATTGTGGTTGTGGTAATGATAAAGCATTTGGGAAAGTTATAGGATGTTAAAGGCAATATTAACAGCTGAATAGCAATACCAAGTAAACATCCTAAACAGGTAAAACAGGTACTTTTGATCTGATTTAACCATCCAATCAGAAGGTTTTATGGTAATAAAGGGGAAGTAAAGGAGGAGCTTCCTGTAGCAGGCAGCACACTATTACTTTGTATTCCGTTGCCAGACATTTGGATGTAGTATCTGCATTCAGGTAATAGCAATATATAAACTTGCTTTTAAATTTTTTATAAATTTGTCTGTAAGCTCACAGTTCCTACCAGTTGAGAATATGTCAATAAACTGTATTTTGTACATGTAAAGACACTGTATTTTCTGTCTGTTTGTCTGTTCTGTCTCAGTCTTTTTAACCACTTGCTCTTAATGGCTTTATTTTAAACAGGGCCACTATGTTCAGACACAGCTGCAGTCGTTTGAGGTTGGCTTTCTTCCTCAGTTGTCCACCTTGGTTGTCCGCCTTCTTCTTATTCACTGCAAGTCTCTTGAGCACAGGTAACAATACAGACACACAAGCCCTTGTTATCTAGTACACTGTATTGGTACTGTGTAGCTTGGTATGGAATGAAGCATCTCTCATTGAGACCTTCATTTCTCTTCCCTGTTGAACGCTGCTGAGCTGTAGGCCTCAGTGGTGTAAGCTTCCCCGTGTGTTACCATGGCGTTCACTATCTGTCCAATCAAGATTTGAGATTATGCCTCCAGATGATTGTTGACTCCCTAATGTTCCAGGGATTTGAGCTCATATGTTTTTTTTTTCTTCAGGGCGGGGCTCTTAATAGACTGAGCTGCACACATCTAGTTTGAAAAAAGTATATTTGGAAAATATTCGTTATGGAAAGAGTATTAAGTAGTATTATTGTTTCTTACATTAATACATACATGTAACAGCTGGAATAAGAGCACTGGCACTGTACAGTTAGTTACACTAATTATCTTTCATTTTATAATTGTTACACTTTTAATATAAAAAAATACACTTCTAATGCTAAACTGAACACTTGAATCTCTGAGCAGCATAATTATTGAGTCCCTGTGGGCCACATACATTGAAAAGCCCGTTCCAGTCTAATTCTAGGTCTCTTATTAAGTGTGCACTTACATTTATTTCTGATCTTGATCTATCTTAATGGATCATGCTTTATTTAGTACTTTATTGTCCAAACTGAATCAGGAAAATAGGTTTTTCATTATACTCCCTTCTAATGGAGTTATTTCAAGACATTTTCAAACCATAAAATCTAGTTTCTCTTATTAAGCTTAAGAAAACAGTAAAAAGCTGCTTTGTGTTCGCTTTGCTAAGAGATATATACATACTTCCCTGTGATTACATTTATTTTTATTTTTCTGCCAATGGAGCTCTTTCTTTGTAACTAGCCCATAAAGTAATTCCACTAAGTCATTTTTATATTCCTGTGTGCATTTGACTCCAACTATTATGTTTGTGTTTTTCTTGCTTTCTAAGGCCAGGCTTTATTTGAGAAAATAATATGAATCAATATTAAATGTATAAAACTGTGTGCATGGAAAGCGTACACTCTGGCTCAACGACAAAAAGATTTTCTTGAATGAGAATATGTCACGTTTATCCTTGAGGATTACAATGATTTTTTTAAGAAACAGCAAATATGTGTCTGTGATTAATTTTAAGACTTCATTTCCTAAGAATTGAAATCCACACGTGGGGTGCAGGTGACGTCCACCGGCACACAGACCATCCAAAAGGCAGAAGGAGAGAGTGTGACTCTGGGCTGCAGTTACACACTGAGCCCTTTGGACACTGGAGAACTTGACATTGAATGGTCTTTGGTCAGTCAAGACACCACGCAGAAAGATCAGATGGTAAGAAGCAGAATGAGAATGGTGCAAATTATATTATTGTTGTGTACATAGGGTCTGATATAAAGTATGGGATTATAAAGCAGAATTTGAATTCACTTGGTGTATGCTAAGACACCCTTTGTGTGTGTGTTTCTAAAGTTAAATAACAACAACATTCCAATACTTCCAAGACCATGTTATTTGGTTAAAAAAAATGTGGGGAAAATAAAAAGATCCTAGAAATGAAACATCAATGTATCCATTCATTATTGATTTATTCTTTGTTGAAAACTTTATTTCTCATACAGTACATGTTGATGATGTACCTTGCCTGTATTTTTGTTTCTTCAGCTGACCTGTTGTGTGCACTGGCTGAAAAGGCTGTGCAAGCAATTCATTTGAATTAATAAATTAGAAGTCTACAAATTAAATGCTGTCAGAATTAGCACCAAATTACCAAGTTCTTTCCAGGAAATGACAGTTATGGACCTGTAAAATGATCGAGTTCTTTAACATCACCACCGTATTTGAGTTAATTAGTATTCAGAACACAATTAGGTCAAGACAAAGCTTAGAAACCTGTAAATATAAGCATTATTACACATACCATAATGACATATTTAAAATATCCAATTCAAAAAACACTTACTAAATTATTCATATTCAAAGTATTCTCATCTTCATTTTGCTTGTGCATCTACAAGTCTAAATGAGAAATTGGTCCAGGAGACTACTGTGTGGATGAACACCACCATTTTCACAGGAATTTTTTTTTATTTGCTTTTTAAATTAAATGAGTCATTAGAGTTGGAGACTTGAAGGCATATTTTTTCTACCCTTAGGCAACAGACATTTGATCACAATCACTCTAAGGTTCGTCAAGTTCCAGTATGTGCTGCTTTAGATAAGTGATCAGTGCAGATTATTGGTTCTTGTGCAAACTGAATGCTTTGCACTGCAGCCAAACACTTAAACAGTTCCAGCTCTTTATTCTAATTATTTATCACCTGCTAGCTTAAAGCTGCCATAATTGATTTTATGCTATTATTATATATACTAACAGTTGCCTATTTACACATCCATCAGACAGGAAACATTATCCAGTAACACACAGATCAACACTGGTGTTCATTTGGGCCAGTGTTTCTGTCCTCCTGATCACTGTGAGTCCACTATATGCTGTTCTTTATCTCTGGGGTTAGGTTTCCATGAACATAGGTTTTTTTAACTGCTACATATTCCACTTTCTTCACCAGTAAGTCATTAACTAGAAGTGTACAGTGGATGTATGAGAGCTGCTGAAATCAGCTTCCTGACTAAACCAAACAGAAAATTTATAAACAATGAGCTAAAACAGGCTAAAAAACTCCAGGGTGTTAATTCTAGGTGTGTGTCACTGCGAGGTAACCCTTATTAGCTATTCAGAATTGATGGCATAAATATTTAATGCACATTTAATTGGTTAACATCAATTAAAACTATCATTCATAGTCCTTTGTTCACTCTTTGTTGAATCTGTCTTTTTATTTTGTTTTCAATCAGCTCCTATCCTATACCAGCGGCACTAAATACATCCATGGTGACCACGCTCCTACACAAGGACTCAGCTTTGCTGCTCAGGACCCCTCAATGGGTGACGCTTCACTCTCAATTGCTCAGCTGTCACCTGCTCATAGTGCAACGTACCAGTGTAAAGTGAAGAAATCACCTGGAGTGGACATGCACAAGGTGTCACTGGTGGTAATGGGTAAGACTGGTTCATGTGTACTGTATTTTTAAAATGGATGGAGGGTTGTTGTGATGATAATGTTTTTGATAACTATCAAAGGTGCTGTAGAATGGAAAACAGTATTTACATCAGCAACAAAAGAGAGTTCAGGACATGAAAATGACATACTTCCTACTTCATATGTAAATCTTGCACATGCAAATGACCCTAGAAAAACAGGTGAATGCAAACAAACAGTAGATGTTACATAGCATCTGGGATTATTAAATTTAAATATACCAGCCCGAGTTCCAGAGAAGCGGTCGAATGAGCTCATCGACATGGAGGTTGTTTTGTATGAACAGAAAGTGCTTTTATGGCTATGAAGCCACAGTAAATATTTTCTGGGTTTCCCTCTGATGTCCTCAGATTGCTCTGCCTCAACTCTGTGATTTATGAAGTTTCCTGATGAACAGATTTACTTGTTGCTAATGCTACAGTAACTGCTAGCTGTTGCTAATGGTAGCTGCTGTTACCTGACTTCCGGTGACATCTGACTTCTCGTGCCACAGAAAGTGGCAGCACGACACAGCAGCTCCCTCTTACTTTTCCTAGTTTTTAACCTTTCTTATATTTTAACTTTTTACTTATGCACTAATTGACACTTTATTTATTTGCACATTCTAGCCTTTTTCTTTTGTAAATAGGACTACGTTACACAAACAATGGACACAGCGACCACCAAACAACGAAACACCGGAGTCTACTCATGTGAAGAGCTCTTACAGCATCGGGATCGACCTGTTGCATGTCCAAATGAGATCCCAGTGAAGTTAAGGATAAGAAGATGAGGATGTCGTGCTGGCATGACGGTGAGGAACAAGAAGACGGGGAGTCAGTGGAGATACAAGCCATGTCTTCCCTTGGTCGTCATGGGGAACTTCTGCTCACTGACGAACAAGATGGATGAACTCTCGGCTCTGGTCAGCTGGCAGCGAGAGTATCGGGAGTGCCGCATGTTATGTCTGACTAAAACTTGGCTGAATGGGAAAACACCAGATTGCTCAGTGGAACTAGTTCGAGCAGATAGGAAGAAACAGAGTGGTAAGAAGTTGGAAGGAGGACTTGCTGTATCCAAATGGTGTAACCCAGGACATGTTACCACAAAGGCAGAAATCTGCACGCCGGATGTTTAGGTGCTGGCTGTCGGGTTGAGACAATACTTACCTGCCTCAAGAGATCTGAGACGCCATTGCCATCACTGTTTATATTTCAACGTTGGCAGTGGCGGCGCACGCTTGTGACGTCATCCATGGGCGAAGGCTTTTGCGTCGCCGGCAGCACCCACTCCAGCTCACCTCCCCCTCCTAACGAACAGCTCTCTTATCTGCCCTCCCTCCCCTCCATCTAAATGTTCTCCCTCCACAACCCTTCCTCTGCCTTCCCCCCTCCCGTTTCTCCCCTCCCCTCCGCTCCCCTGCCCCTGCACCCCAGTCATCACAACCAGGATCAACCCGGACATCAGGTTCTGTAAGGACAGGATCATCCCCACCAAAAGGATATGTTGCTTCCCCAAAAACAAGCCCTAGATCAATAGAGACATCATATCTCTGTTGAGCAAGAAAAAGATTGCTTTCACGGCATGGTACAATGAAGAGGCCAAGAAAGCAATCCAGAGGGAGCTGAAGAGAGAGCCGAGGTGGGCTAAGGATTCAGGGGAAGCTACAGCAGAACAACAGCAATGAGGTGTTGGGGGGGGGGGGGCATCACAGGTATGACCAGACCAGCAGGAGCAGCTTAGGGGACAAAGGGCCGAGCCAACGAGTTAAACCAGTTTTCCAACAGGTTTGACTTAACCACGCTCTCCCCACCTCCTCAAGTAGCCTTCAACTTTCTTTAGCAAATATCTCCATTCTTCTTGCTAATGTTGAATCTGAATTAAATGTTGGGTAATTTTTGGTCTCTGTAAATTATATTAAACAGAGTGCTCTCTAGATCTTCTTTATATAAAAAGTGCAATGAGATGACTTTTGTTATGAATTGGCGCTATATAGATAAAACTGAATACATTTGAAATAACAAACCTGGATTTAAACATTTACCTAGCCAGGTAAAACTCCTGAATTCCACAGTGAAAACAAATATTGTGCTTATTGTAGAAAGACTCATAAAATACTTAAAATGAAATAATAAACTTTATATTGATGTCAAAATGTGTATCTACAATAACTAATCCTCAGTTTCACTGCTCATGCCTAAGCACCAGTGTTGGATAGCAATTACATAAAATATAAAATTATATAATGATAATGAAATGACAGGACGGGCTCTCAGCTAGCTAACATCAGATAGCTCATTTGAAGTTAAATAAATGCTAATTACAAAACTCTGAAGGTAGGAAAGTTAAGTGTATTAAAGCAGCTAGATAGCTCACTACTGACATTAACTTACAGCATCTCCATTAGTGTGTGATGCGCTGGACTGGAGCAGCTGCTGCTGCGAGTGATGCAGACGGAGAAGACGTTCAATTAACGTCAAGGTTAGGAAATGGTACGGTCCATTATAGGGTGTCAGAAAATGTACTTCCGGGTTCTTGAATATAAGGCATGAGTATGGGAAATATTTTGTAATATTTGTAATAAGAAAGAAAGTAAGAAAGACCCCACTGAACTGTTGTTTTTGCCTCTTTTGGAGGGGTGCAAGCCTTAATTATGGGGGTCAAACCCCCCCCCAATCTGCCCCCGTAATTTGAACCATGGCCGCACGGCTAACTGTGTAGCTAACAGCAGATGATGATAGCAGTAGTTAGCAGCTAAAGTAACTGGTCACATACAAACTCCATAAATCACCAAAAGTGGAGACAGAGCAGCCAGAGGACATCAGGTGGGAAACCAGACAATATTTTCACCATCAAATCTGATCCAGTTTCACTAAAATCAGTGAATAAAGTTATGAAGTTTTTGTTCAGTAATGAGTGAGACCAATTTTCATATAGCAGGCTTTAATTCAGCTGTGCAGCTAGGCCCCGCCCTTCTTCTGTACTCGGACAAGGTGGCCAATCAGAAGCAAGTGGGCTTTTAACTGCCGTTTCTGGTGAACGTTCTTTCAGAGAATGGGGGTGAGGTTAATAGTCGGACATAATACATTACCATGACAACCAAAAACTGACCGGCTGGAGTGTTCACTAACGATATGCTGTGTTAACATCACTACACTGTAAAGTTTAGTACACTTTACTGTCTGGCAGGAGTAGCTATTACTTACCCATGACAGAAACTAATGTGCGCGTATCAGCTGTTATCATACAGTCGATGGTCCTGTCACATACTGCACATGATAACTCCCACTACGTTTTATGGTGCGCTTACTTTACCGCGGGGGTGTGGGGGTCTATTACTCTGTTGAACTGTATGTAAAGACTTCTGATGCCATTACCTCCGCCGATGTAAAATGCGGCCATCAGTAAAATGCATGTTGCAGACTGTATATAAGATGGTGGCGGGTGAAAGTGTGACGCGTTTTCTGTCATCTGTCCTCCAACACGCACAAATGCCAAAATGAAAATGAACAGCACACTAAACCAAGAGGAGGAAACTAAAAAATAAAATGAAGATCCTCTGTTAGCTAACTTTCTGCAATAACTATGCTAGCTAACTACACCTGGCTAACTACAACTTACTTAACTTAGCTAACTAAACTAGAAAGACAAACCAACAATCAGACACAAAGAGACACACCTACTGTAAGTTCTTAGTAATTACATGATAATTTGGTTACAGTAGCTAGCTCACAACCATGTTTATCAGTTTGATGCTCTGACTTAACGAGGCGTGATGGCGTGACAGTTTTTTAACGAGGCATGACGGTGCGCCTGCGCAAACTTGGAGAATTATGTTTGACTTATGGAATTACTATAGTCATACGTCACTACCCCATTTTAACAACTAAGCAACTTTTGCAACTTTGAGCACAAAAGTAAGCTATTTGTCAAAAAATATTTGGCGAACTATGTGGATAATCAACATTGTAAGGAAGTGACTCAGAAAAATATAAAATATCATAGAAATGTCAAAATACACTGGAGGGGGGCTTTAATGGAAGGGGCAGAAGCTAAAATGGAATGTTCACAGAGAGGGTGAAAAGAGGTGCTGAAGCAGTGAACATTTTGAGAAAAATAATGTTTGTCAGACAACACAGAGAAGTACAGACCATATCAACTCGACAGCAGCTACAGCCCACAAACACACACATTAAAGCAATGAGACAACCTGCATACACTGCTCCGCATAGCGAGCACACCACACACACATAAAACTACGTTGCTAGGCAACACTGTGGTTGTTGATGTTCTCCTCTGGAGAGAGGGTTACATCTATCATTGAGTTTGTTATTGTACTCCTCAATCTGCTCTGGTAGCAACTTCTCTGCTTGTTAAGTTTATTCACACTATACATAACACGACCAGTCCAACCTCTCTTCTCCCACTGAGCTTTACAGCGAAAACTTTTGAGCTGAACGAGCGCTCACCAGTGACCACTTTGTCAGAGATTTATCAAAAACAGCAGAAAGACCTCAGACACCTCACTGAATGTAGAATTTCCTCAGAAAATGTAGAAGTCACAGCTAGAGAATCCAGCATGAGCAGGTTCAGTAGATCCAGCATGCACCCATGAGTCATAATAGTAATTTTGTTACAGTGAGGAGAGTAAATATAATTTGTTACTACATCTTAATTAGTGGAGCCTAGTTTTGTTAATAAACGGATGTCAGTGAGAACAAAGATAATAATGGCTTTCATTGTTTTGTTCTGGTAAAGAAGAAAGTACTCCCTAAATTCAGGACAAATATTATAATATTATTATATTATATTATTTATATTATTTCTTCATAAGACTAGACTGAACTTAATTACACACTGCAGTTAGCTAAAGAAATTATTCCGTACTGAGCACATAAAACCAGATTTGTTTTAAGCCGTCAACCTTTTCTTGTTGGATTAGGTGGACACAGTTGATTACTCATTTAAAGGTGGATATGCGATTCTAAACCAATACACGTCTTTATGTCAAATTCAGTGACTATCTCCTCACATTCTGCTGGCTGTCCTTTCTGTGTGTGAGCTGAAAAAAACCTGGTGTTTGTACACAGCCCTGGCTCAACACTATTCCAGCCATGATTTGTCCGTCAGGTAACATTAAATGACTTGCCTACGGACTTTCAGATTAGTTTCTGGTTTTCCAAGACATGCTGTTGTTAGGTATGGTAGCAGGAGAGTTGTGAGTATCGCTCTCTGTAGCTGGTGTGCTGGCTCTGTGAAACCGCCTCATCCTCTCTGCATGTTAGCTTCTCAGCTGCAACTGTAGCAACCCACAACCTAGCTGTCATACTTGCTGTGTCGTTGTTCTGTATCATGGTATTTGCAATGGAACTGGATTTTTCCAGAATCGCTTACCCTACCTTCACTGTGACTAAAGTAATGTAAAATTTACCTTAATATTATAGATATGTTTGCTTTTAAGTGACCTGAACAGCCAAATCTCGCCAACTTAGTGCAACATTGACACTGAAACCAGTAAACCTACATTTAGCTCAGCCTGGGTCCTTCCACCATCATCTCCAAGCACCATTCAAATGTCCAAGTGTTTAAAGCATAGAGAGTTTGGAGCGTTTTCAGCAAATCATTTCACAGAAGAAACTGATTTACTTTTAAGGTCTTCTCTTTCACACAAATCGGTAAAAACAAAAGCAGCATTAGATGAAATCAACTCCCCCCTAATGAAAACCAGCTGATATCCGAAGCAACGTCTCACATATCAGTAGACAGCCTAAAGCTGTTACAAGCAACACAGGCAGTCCTGAGAACCAACAGGTCATTTATAGTTCAGGTTCTTTGTATGATCCGGAGAAGGAAAAGTTGTTTAGAAACTGCAGAAATGAATGGATGGGTATAGGATTCCTGCTTTTATTATGTAAGCAGAAAAAGAACACTCTTAATTGACAGAAATGTTGTGGTTTTAAATGACCCTTCATGTCTAACATAATCGATCTCACCTTAATTGCAACCAATTTTTCACCTTTTTAAAACAGCCCAGTACTCCACGTGTCTGCTTTCTCATCTTTAACTCATCAAGCCTTTATTACACAATATAAATCTATATTTGAATATAGATTTTAAATGTGTAATGAAGGCATGTTTTTTTGCAACTCATACATTTTATTGGATTTTTCAGTGGTAAAATGCATCATGTTGTTGGTATAACCCATCTATATGTTGTGAATATGTGTTATTAAAGCCAGAATCAAAATGGTTCCTGCAATTTCATCCTGAAACTATAAAGCCGTACAGTTTTTCAAGAAGTGGAATGGAAATGGCAGCGTGAAATTATCCGTTTGTTGCATGATTTCAGCGAGGCCGTCTGTGCCTAAATGCTGGGTGGAGGGAGGGGAGCTGATCGGAGAGGCTGTGTCTCTGCACTGCAAGTCTGCAAAAGGTTCCCCTCCCTTAAAATACACATGGAGGAGAGAAAGTGCAGGCCCCATCCCTGCTGCAGCCACACAGAGTAAGTGTGACCTCTGCTGACGTCATAATGCTACTACACATCAAAGACACATCGCGTGCGTGTATGTGTGTGTTGGGGTGGGGGTTGGGAAAAGGTGTTACTTTAGGATCTAATTCTGTGTGAGCAAAATTCAGTGAAAACCCTTTTTCTTGTTGAATGAACAGTACATGCTTATTTCTATTTAGGCATTTATCAGGCATTTTATTCAGAATTGTGAAATTGTATGACAGTGATAGGCAATCTAGGTGAATACCTGAAATAATGATTTGAGAACACAACACTCACATTCTACTTACTTAGAGGGACTCTTGTGCATAATCAGCAGATCATTTGCATTTTCTCCCCATTTCCATTTCACTCTTTTCAATGCAAAATATTTCCTGAAATGTTTTTGACACCGTATACAGTAAACTGCACTTATCAGTGTCGTCTTGCAGCCGGAGACACAAACATTTTGGCTGCATGCAGACAGAAAATCTGTTTGAGCAGATCTTCTTCTCCTAGAAAATCTTCACAATTTAAAAGCATAATTTATACAAACCACAAACCATGAGCCTTTGGAATGTGTCACTTTAACTTATCTACTTGTACAGAAACCTCTTATCATCCCTATGTGATATATTTTCATTGTAGCCCCTTGTATGTATATACAGTATATGTAAAGTATATGTACAGTACATGTGTTAATGTCTGTTTGCGGCTGTGCACGTGTGTGTGTGTGTGTGTTCTCTCAGTCAGTGTGACTGGGGAGGTGAAAATCAGCAACCACTCGAAGAGCCTTGCAGGATTCTATCTTTGTGAGGTGAACAACGCTGTTGGAGCCGAACACTGCAGGATCAACCTGAAAGCAAACAAACGTAAAGGAACACACGCTCACACAGAATGTGCAACATACATCACGTGTGACCCACACCCACGCGATCATGAAAGACCTAGACATCATCTTCTTCTCTCTTTGTAGTTATGCTGCAGTCTCCCACTGCTTCACCTCTCACACATAGTGTTTTAACCAAGGTGCTGCGTGGATAGTGTGTGGAAACATCAGTGTGTTATCCTTATCCTTATGCTGTCTAATGATGACAGGAGAAGGCCATAGTCAATGGCAAAAAAAATCGCTCTATTGACAGAAGACAAATCTGCTCTTTATCACTGTCTTGCTCAGTCACAAATGAGTAATACTGAAATGGCTCTGCTGGTTTGTTTATCAACAGGCCCCTTTAGCTTTATGAAGTATAGATGAAACAAGGAAAAGGCAGCAACAGAAAATAGTTAGACTTATTAAAAGCACCTCATCAGTCTTGTTTAGTTGGCAAAGTGTGAAAATAGAGGGAATGTAAAATGTCCTGAATGTCCTGAGGGCAGTCGATGTACAGTAATACCTCTGAACAGCTCTGAACAAGACAGGAAGTAGAGGAATACCAGAGCTGTCTCACAGGGAATCAATCTGGTGACTGTAAGTGCACCAGTAGGGAGTACAGTCAATGATTCAGCATACCATTATGGAATAAATCACCTGTGGGTTTAGACTCAAACAAGGCCTCTCCATTCTGGGGATCCATAAAAAAGAGTTTCCTTTGTGTGCCTCATGATCTGTGGAGCAGGCCTGACATATTACATATTGCTGAGTCCCATAACTTCCGGTCTTAGTGCTCAGATTTCTCGCTTTAGGCAGGGAATCACTTCAAATGCGGGGCGCTGTCCCAGCCCAGAGGTTCCCACCCTTAGACTCCAAGATGATTTACAAGATATATCAATTACATCAAGATTGCTGTACAGAATTCACATTACTTTTTTCCAATGTTTCATTTTTTTGTGATATATTGGATTATTTTACTTGTTTGGGCATTTAAAAATATTTTAATGCAACACTGTGAGAAGAGAATATCACTTTTTATTCCACCATGGGTATGGGTTTAGACAATTCTCATATATTTAGGGCAAATTTAAGGCCATAGAATTACTGAAAAGATGCACTGTCACAACGCCTTAAAGGAATAGACACTTAAATATATGGGAATATATATGGGA